CTTACTAAAAAAAAAGAGAAAGGTCCCCTTGGTAACAGGCTCTCAAAGGACCAACCTTTCGTTTTATTCCTTCAAGAATGAAAAAAAAAATTAAAATCAGGGATCATTCAAAAGCGAGCTTTCACACTTCTCAGTTCAACAAGAATACTGAAGTTATTTGGACTAGAAACAGGATAGGTTCAAGTCTGATATTGAAACTTGCTGGCATTTATGACACAAGAAATATGGGTACTCTGAAACAGGTCACAGAGGCCAGCTTGCTCTTAAAGCCTTGAGGAATATGGCATGGAGAGAACTGAGAGGGGATCTTTTCTCTGCTTACAAATACATAACAGGCGGGTGCCAAGCAGATGGGGCCAGGCTTTTTTCAGTGGTGCCCAACAACAGAACAAGGGGCAATGGGCACAAACTGGAACATAGGAAGTTTCATACAAACACAAGAAAAAATTGCTTTAGTTTGAAGGTTACAGAGCACTGGGACAGGCTGCCTGGAGAGGTGCTGGAGTCTCCTCTGAGATACTGAAGATCCACCTGGATGCTTTCCTATGCAACCTTCCATAAGGAACCTGCTTTAGCAGGAGGTCAAACTAGATGATTCTGAGAGGTCCCTTCCAATTCATGGGATTCTGTGATTCTGTGAAACCTTTGTATTAACCATCGGAGGCTGTGGGTTTCTGAATTTCTGTGCCAGTGTTCTTTTTACAGAAGGGCACAGTCTTTGAGAAGCTCAGGTTTGCTTTCTGGAGCCACCCTGCAGATGTGTATGGTGCCATCTGTACAAAATGGTCACTTAACTATGAAGAAAAAATGGGACAATTCTTTTTTTATTTTGCAGCTGCAAAGAGTTCTCCAGAACAAACGCTAGGGTCAGATGTGTTGTCAAACAGATGGAGACACATTTAAGTCATACATACTGCAAAACAATTATCTTTGAGAGCACCATGTGCTGCAAGAGCGATCGTCTGCAACTGTCTGCTCGAGATGTCCTGGGACACACAGAGGATCTTTCTACTGAGCCAGACGTTTTAAAATCGTTATTTGAAATGACAGGCCACAAAAACAAGGAGGCTGACCAGAGACAACTCTGTCTCAAGTGTTGCTGGTTACAATCTGGAGTCCTGTCCCTTTTTTCGCTGGTCTGAATAAAAAACAACTCTAGGAGCCGAAGTACCTCACCACTAAGCTTACCATGAAAACTAGAAAAGTAAACTTGTCTCTTCAAAGCCCTCTTTCATAAGAGGCTGTTTCCGCAGTCACCAAAAGGGAGGGTCAGTCCCACGAAGGAACAGACTCAGATTAAGCAGCAGAGACTCCACAGTCAGTGGAGAAAGGTGCCTTTCAAGAGACCCAAAAAGCAGTCTTCTAAGCACCAGATCACTTTGTTGCTGTTGTGAGGACATAACACCATGCACAAATGGTTCAGCTTTCTGTCGAATGTGTGTCAGTATGCTTTATGCTGAAAAAAATGGGTACAGGTCACTTTGTAAGCAGTCAGCACCAAATTCCATTGCTTTTTCTTCAATTTTGACTTCTAAGTCAGAGTCTACTTTAAGTTACTTGTCAGGTTGTTTTCTGTCAACTCCACCTGACCCTCCTCACTGCTTCCTCACTATTGTCACACAGTTGAGATGCAACATTTTGTAAGTTAATATGATTCCACTAGTGCCCAGTAGCAGCCGTGCATATTTGCTGACTCCAGGGCTGCAGTCTCAACAAGGCTGTTGATGCCACAAACCTTGTTTTCCATCAGGTACTGAAACAGAGGCCATGGTCTGCTGCAAGTCAAGAGTCAGACTTGGAAAGCTTACAAGACGCTTTCAAAGCAGCACATGCTAGCAGGAGAAACGAGATCCTACCTCTGAGATGTAGGAATTCTGAGAACCGAGAGGCGTAGAAGAAATGTACTACAGTCATGAAAACAGACACCTTATGGAAATTCAACATCTGCCTCATTTATCTGAGTGAAATCTTCCCTATCTATTTCCTGGGGCAGGAAGAAAAACCTGATCAAAGCTCCCTCTTGACTCCTTCCCAAATATAAGCAACTTGGAATTTGCCTCTCAGCATCTATAGATAAGTGCCATTCTTCAGCCTCAACATTCTGGCCTTAGATACAAACACACTGCAGGTAATGCATGAATTGTATGAAGAAATCATTAGGCACATTTATATGAAACATGAAGCAAAGCTCATTTGGCTCTACCTTTCAATCACAGTAGGGAAACAGCAAGAATCTGTTCCTTACTGCCTACACATCACCCGAGAGATGCACTTAATCTGCCCCTTACAAAACTGCTGGACATCACCCAGGATCTGAACAGATGCTTTCCTGTAACAACAAATCCCCATACAAGTTAACCCATCTGAAGTGAGCTCGAGCCCAGACAAGGTCTGTAGTCAGACTATCCTTCTATTGCCAGACAAGAACATGTTGAAATAGCGGGCGAGACTCTGAACCCAAGTTAATACACAATCTTGGTCCAAACTCCTTTGCTGAAAATAACACTGCTGCATTGTGTAACATCTTCTCAAAAGATCTATTAATATACTGTCAAAGGATTTCAATAGAAACAATTTTTTTTTTTTTTTTAAGAAATATATTACAATAATTTCAGAACCAGAATGTTTTGTTTTTAATTTAATAGATTGCATTCTCTTCAGAGACAGCCTCTGTACCTCTGGTGAAATTTAAAGCATTCACCACTAGAACTTGAGAGTGACAGGAGAAAGCCAGCACGTCACACATGCCCTGCTGAGTAGAACAAGGTAATTTGCTATTTATTTATTTACACACACAAAAAAGAAGTGTTACAGAACTGTTCACATCTGTGAAAAGTGGAGAGTGTGGAGCTAAAAGTAGATTTAGTGTAATTAATAAGGCAAGACACACACATGACATTCGATACATCCTTTATATTCTTTAGATTTTGTGGGTTTTTTTTCCCTATTTTTTCCTTCTATTCCTTTTCTTGACCACTTGAAGTTGGTTTCTCAAGTGGTTCTAGTTTCCCTCTGCACTCTCAAATCACAGATTAGTCAATCCCAAAGATACCATGCCAAGGCAAAATAGTTTGTGGAGGTACTTACCAGCGTGAACCAAGAGAAGGTAGAAGACATTTTCAGAGCTCTTCATCTTAAAAACGTTGGGATTTGTGCCTTTTCCAGCCTTCAGAACTCCCACAGATCAGTGCTTCTGCAAGTTTGCTCTCCCTGGTGTGCTTCTTGGTGAAAATCAGCAGCATTCAAATGCAGGTGCACTTTGTTCAACAATTTATCTTGCTTACTTTGGCACACGTCACCAAAGGGAAAAACACGCCTACCTCTCTGCACGCTGCCTTTACGCTTGGAAAAAAAAGTCAAGACTAGGAAATTACAAAATATTCACTGCACCAATGAAGTTGTTACCACTTCAGCCCCACCTACAGACTTAGATCAACAGCTACACTGACTCACAGGGTAAGGTGAGGCTGTGTAAGGGAATCTTCACCTCGAGTTGTCTGAATTCCCTCTGTGCTGGGGCTCCAGAAGTAATAGTAGACTCAAGCTAAGCAATTCATCTACACTGCGTTTCCAAATACAGGATTCTCAGAAATACTGCACGCTTACTTTACCAATGAAAACAAAAGCAAAAACAAACCCACAACTGATTTTAGGCCATACACTGGCAGCCAACACGTGCTTCAAGTCCTGTAAGCGTCCCAATTAACATCCAGTGTTAAGTGAACTTCCAGTGTTCAGAGTAATAACTTCACTTGCCCCCACTCTGATCACCAGTATTCCTCTATCACATCATCTTTATTTAAAGCCTCAGCCAATCATTTTAAAATACTACACCACCTGTATTTCTTTGGATGAAAAACACACTTGACAAATACATTGTACAATGAAGTTTATTAGCTGTTCTCCTCTTTCTAACAAATGGAATGGATAGTGTTAATAATTCTTTACAAACCAAAGCGAATTTGGTTGTGTGACTGCATTGTGACTGCCATAAGTACATCCCCCTCATCAACAATCAGCTTCAAATAAGCAATGGCAGGTACCACGTCATACGAGAAATAGAGAATTTCATTACTGAAGGTAGTTCCATGTTTTGCTACAACATATTTATAACATTCTGCACAGAAGTTTGTGCTTTGCAAATGGAAGATCTTGCACCTATGCAATCCAAGATGAACATATACAGAAAAATAAAATGTATCATTGACTCTGAATTCTCCCTTTGGTTAAGACATGCATATTACAAAGAAAAACAAAAAGAGACAAACACCTGAAATTCCGTAGAAAAGAGGAGAACTTGCACATATTTTTTTCTTGTAACTAAGAATTCCCTGGACTTTTTGCCCAGCCACCACAGCCCGTTTGACTTCATGTGATTAAGGAAGGTAAATTCTAATTTGTATTTTTATTCAAAACAAAAAGCTAGGAGTAGGTGGTAAAAGAAAAATATATATTTTTATATATATATATTTATACGTGTGCGCAACTATGTAAAGAAAATAATTCCCATAGTTACAGAGTTTAGTTAAAGAAAGTTTAATATATATATATATTTATTATAACAAAATAGGCAGTTATTGTGGGTAAAATATTCATTAAAATCTGACCCCTAAGAACACACATTTTTAGGCTACGAATCGCTCTCTCATTGCCCCAACAACCATCTCTGCAGCTGTTTTCTGTATTAGTGCCAATGGAAATTTGGCATTCCTCTGAAAATACAAGGTTTCCTAGCACCTAGACATGTTTTAGGCTCAAAAAGTGTGATGACCATTATCTATAAACAATTTCTGTAAGACACTATAAATAGTGCTGCACGAGGAAGATTAAAAACATTACACATCTTTTTCCCTAGCAATTTTATTGGCAAAAAAATGAAAAAATAGATTATAAGAATATCCATATGAAATTATGAAAATGAATATCCCTTGAGAAGGAGTGATGGGAGTTAATGAAAACGTTAACTCAAAATTTGAAAGTTTCTCTTTAACTGCCTGGAAAGAAAAAAAAAATATCTGTGAGAATAGAATTTAACTCAGAAAATAAAACCTGAAATTGATTGCGCTGACCAAACCATGCTATTAAAGTTAAGCGTGCAAAGTTACTCATGATTTACAACTTCCTGGAATACAACTTTTCTTTCAATTGTTATGAAACTTTAAAAGAATGTCTATAAAGCTTTTTTGAAAAATCTTTGAAAGTTACTTTCCCTTAAACATTAAGGAATTTTACCAAGCAATCCCCTCCCACCCCCACCCCAAAGTAATAGCTGGTCAGGCCATTCCACTGTCATGTTTGAAAAATGGCAAACCAACAACACACAATAATACAAATTATTTAAACTAAGAGAGACATCAAATTTAAAGCGTTATGGGAACTGCAGAATGTGATGGTTAGGGTATGAACCACGCTGGGAGGAACTAGAGGCAGGCTCCACTGGAAGGGCTTAAGAGTTGTCAGATGTAGTAGGTGATACCAGTTAGAAAATGGAAAGCAAAAATCCGTTTTCATAATTTTTCCTTTGCTGGAACCCAGATGTAAGGCCCAGATTGTTCCTCTATGATCTGTTTCACTTGGTTGTAGATTTCTTCCAGTGTGTCTCCTTGGATAATAGCTGCAAAACATAATGTGGCAATCAGGAATCATCTTTCTTTGCTCCTTATGGAAACCAAGATGCTCTAAACCAAGATGTTACTTTCTCTCACAGGGCAGCAAAGGGATTTTGGATCACTGAAGGAATGGATGCCTACTGAGAACTCTGATTCCTGTGCTTCTAGATGGACAGACACTGCTGACACTTGTTACAGGACACACAAAAGCATGGGGTTAGATTGTGGTTTTCCTTTTAGACTTATATATCTACAGCTGAGGAGGTTTATTTGCCTTTTCCAAATACAAGCTAGAGTTGGCCCAAGTCATTTCACAGACTCTGGTGCCCTCTTTGATCCAGCTCTCATTTGCATTTCCAAGAGAGAAAGACAAGACTGCACAGGGCTGTGTCCTTGTGCAGTCTGTGCGCACTAACATTGGTTTTGGCAAGAGAGAACGTGAACTAATGGGGTTTGTTGTACAGCAAATAGATTCCAGTTTTGTATAGTTAAAATACAATTAATATTCAGACTCTTAGATACATTTTCTCCAAGGCTAAAAAAAATAATTAGAAATGAGCCACGATGTGTTTTGACATATCAAACTAACATATAGCCTGGTGAGAATGAGGGCGAAGTGAAGTTTGAGCTGTTCTTACCACACTTCAGCCTGAGAAAGCATTCACCATGAGATAGCAAGCTCTTTCTAATTAGGATCATCACCTCAGCATTGAGATAAGCCAAGAAACAAAGTTTAATTTGAAAGATAAATATTGGAGGTGTGCCAGATGTAATTCTTTGTGCATTAATTTATTACTGCTGCTTCCAAGCCCTTGTGTCTGTGGGAGGATGAGGTGGTTCAGTTATTCAATAGTTCACGTGTAATCCTCAGCACAACAGCAGAGTGGAAAGATGTAGAAACATCTTTACACTGCAAACATCTTAATTCTCCAGATGTTTCAAACGCACTCCTTCCAAAGCCCAACACCCTCAAAACACAATATGGATGTGCTCTCCCTATGCTTTAGTGTGAAGTTTAAGTCAGTTTAAGCCTAATTTGCTGATGAAGTTGATTTCAGTTACTTCACATGATGCAGTATTTTTAACAGATTAGGGAATGCTCACACAATTTGCTGAGGCAGGTGAGTCATATAGGCAGCAGCAGTAAATGAGATTGTAATGTTTTGAAATATCTCTAACAGATTGCCAAAACTTAGCAAAGACAAATTTGCCCATGGGATGTTGCTATCTGCCCAGTCACAAAGCCTTACACTTCTTAGAAAAAACATGGTCATGGGCACTAGAGCTCTTAAAAAAGAAACATATGATTTTCAAGTATCTTCAATTTTGGCCCTTATCTTCCTAACAGAATTGCTTGATATGATACCGTAAGACAAACTGGGCGAATACCAGCTGCTAACTAAATACTTAACATCTATTAAAATAAACTCATTAGTTTTCTAAACAACAAACCTGACATACTTGCAAATCATCTGGTAAATGACTCTGTAAGATGAAGAATTTGCAATATATGTTGGAGAGTCCGATAGCTTTCTGAGTATAGGTGGTTATAGAGTTATGGGAAGAGTGGGAGAGCTTGATGTGGGGATAAACAGTGACAGCTGCAAAGCAACCGAGAGGGAGGTAGACAAAAAGGGAGAGACTTAAGTTGCTCATTGGGTGGACAGCATTCAATGTGGAGAATGAGGCAGCAAGAAGACTGAGGCAGGGAGTCTACTGGGTCTTTCAGCTTCCTCCCATATGAAGCCAGCAGGTTGAGCAGACTGTTTAAGGAAGTTCTGCATTTGTAGCTCTGCCCACAAAAAATATGTGGAAAAAAGAATTGGGCAAAGGTGACATGTCACAAAGATGGAGGTGGATGGCGCAGCAGCCATTAAAGTATTGCCAAAGAATGTAATAGAAAAGAAAGGAGTGAGTGTCTATCTAGGACAGGAATAGAAAAGGCTCGCTCCTGTCTTCCTGAAGGTCCTGACTTAATTATTCTCCACATTTGCATGCCATGATGTAAGCACAGTAAGCAAAGCCTGAGTGCTTGTAGTCTACCTCTTGCTGCTACAGTTAACAAACTGCATTTGTGCATGCTGCAGACTCTGCTGTCTAGTTTACGTTTATCACTACTAACATTCTTTATTTCTTGATTTCAAGAATTGAAAGCAAATAAAAAGCTTTAGGTGTATAATTTATCAACAAAGTAGACATATACATTTCAAGAAATACAGTAGCAAGTTCCATGGATTTAAAGAGTAAATTGAGGGACTGTTGAACTTATATAGATATTGAATTCACTGATCAAATTGGTATCAGCATAGATGCACTTGGGTAATTTTATGCTTCAGAACAATCACAGATAAGCTTGAAAACCAGCTCAACATTATCTCAGTGGTGAGGCAATTATCATACAGCAAGCAATAAAATTTCAGCTCTGGCCAAGCAAAACAAACCTGTGAAGTGTTCAGTAAACTCTTGCTCCAGTTTCATTGCCCTCTCAAATGTCTTCCTGGCTTGTTCTTCCGTTAAGCGTTTATTCATTTCCCTGAGATTGAAAACATTATACACATAAAGAAGCTACCTGTTATCTTTGGAAATATAATTTTAAACCAGTGTGTGAGTATTAACCTAATAAAAGGCAGTCTTCTAAATGACATTCTAAGCAGATATGTCTCTAACTGGAGACTGTAGAGGGAATGAGCAGTTCTGACACCATGTTATATGGAATTATGCTCAGTGGCACTCATTCTCAGTCACTCGTGACTTGGATTAGAAATTTAGTTTAGAAGGCCCTAGAAATTCAACCCAGAAAGTTTCATGAGCAAAACAAAAAACTACATGCTTTTAAAAATTCAAGTATTACAATTATTTTCATATAATTTGCAACTGTCACAATCTCAAACAATTTAGTTTGAGGTACTTTGCTTTTACTCACATGATATTTTCCACTGTTTTGGGTTTAATAAAAATGGAGATTGGGTACAGCTGGGCAATCTGCAACCTTTTGATCGCATTACCAGAAACATCAAGAATACAATGTTTACCCTAAAAGTAAGAGAAAAAAGGGAAAATGGCAATAAGCAAAGTTTAAGTCACAGCTATGCATACAGTAATAACTTAGAAGAGAAACCATGTTTCCACCAAAGCCAACAAAATTAAAGCACCTGCATCAATGATATCAGGATTGCACTAATCTAGCATGTGGTCCCATAGTGCTCACTCCTCTGGGATCATGCATAACTTGAGATGTTCTTGACTCTTTTTCCATCCTCTCTGCATCAGAAGCTTCAGCCCAATCAACAATGCAGAATACAGAGCAGCTGTACATCAAACCACATCATCCTATTTAAGGATGTAGCCATGACAAAGTTTAGAAAAGAGCCAGATGCCTTGATGAACATTTCTGAGGGAATAACTGCCTCTGATGCCAAGCAAATCTGTCATCTCAGAACAGTCAGATGGAACTGAACATAATCTTCCTCATTCACTATCAGGTATCACCCTGGGGAACACCAGGTTTGAGGCCATGAACTATATTTATTTGGGCTGATTACTTTTTATTATTTAGGAAACAAATACAGCTTATTCCTCAGGGGGTTGAAGCAGAATGCAGCAGGGTTGTTCACCCAGTATTATTAACCTGCCATTGCTCCAGCATTTCCTCATCTCAAAGATTCCTCCTATTCCTCAGCACCTCTTGTGTCTAATACAGTAATTTCTACTCCGCATATTTTTATTTATTTCCTTTGAGTAGCACATGAACAATTTGTGATATCACCATTTTAGAAAGGGGCAGTGTAGGGGAAGTAGAACAGAAGGCCTTTGTTGGTAGTCTGAAATGAGAACATTTTTTTCATTAGCAGGAGATCTAGCAGAATTCTGCAAGCCAGGATACAAACCCACAAGCACCATAAAGACAACAGGCTACATATATCCTAAAACACATTTCCTGAATGCATTTTCCTTATCCTTTCCTGAGAGAAAGGATTGCTAGGGTCATTTACTTCTTTTCTATTGAGTAACAAAACCACAGAATTTCAAGGAACATTTAGATGTTGTACTAAGGGACGTGGTTTAGTGGGGAAATATTGGTGGCAGGTGAACAATTGGATGACCTGGGAGATCTTTTCCATCCTTGGTGATTCTCTGATCTTATTTCAGGAATTCTTAGAGGACAGATACATTCTTCCCACACAAAAAATGTACAACTGTTTGCTTTCAACTGATAAATTTTTCCAGGACCTACTCCATGGATCTGGATGCTAAGCAATAACATTAAATGAATTTTATGTATGTTCCAGCACAGTATTTTGCTATTCATGCTGACCTGTCCACATCTTTCAATGTGGCACATGCCCTAGGAACAGAGAATTAAGAGCAGTAACTGGTCTGTGTTCCCTTTTGTGATATGACAGCCAGTATTTGCTGTATTTGGCCCAACAATTATGCCAAGTGTTGAAGGATCTTGAATGACAAATGGAAAACTAGACTGTCAGCACTTAAGAAGTTGCTCTTCTCTCACAGTTTGATCATGATGTTCTAATTGTTTCTCTTAAATGCATTTGTAACAATGCTCTTTGTTTCTAGGTTTGTACAAAGTCCTTCTAAGGTCAGAGGGTTCCCAGTGGCTTCTTGCCATTCTCCTATTCCCACCAAATAATCACCTCAGTAAAAGAAAACAACTGGCACTGATTTACCTTTTCTGCTACTTCTCGCACTGATTGCACACTTGTTCCATAAAGATGATTATTGTACTGGCCAGCTTCAATGAATTTGTGCTCCTGAATATCCTTCTCCATTTGCTCTCGAGAAGTGACAAAATGGTAATCACGTCCATCCACCTCATAATCTCGTTTTGGTCTAGTAGTATCTTTAAACATAAACCAGTAACTTTTAAAGAAAAAAAAAATGTTCCCCCCCCCCCAACATTCAAAAATAGACCTCAATTTAAACTGCAAAACTGTAACAAGTAAAGAGAAGAATAACCATTAATAAACTTTACAAAGGTGTCCTAACATTTTACCTCTATATACAGAGGTTAGGTCTATAAAGGAAGTAACGACACAAAACCAAAAACCCACTTATAAGTGCTTTAGTATCTGCTGAAACTTACGTGGAACACATGAGCCAAATTTGTCTGGAAATTCTGAAATCAGATCGTCGTTAATTCTGTCTTTCATGGGTCCCAAAACAATCACAGGTCGAGTATAGTTCACTGTTAAACATAAAGGAATAACGTAAGTTACGTTTCAATGACATCACCAACCTTTGAAGTTTAGCAAAATACCACATGGTAACAATATTAATATCTAAAAGAATATGTACTTCTGAAGAGAAAATAAAACATGTTGAAGTATTTGTATCAATTAACACTGCAGTCAAAGATGTCAAATCTTTACTCTCAAATTCCTGGTCAGTGTAACTGAAGATGACTCTTGAATTCTGAAACCTTTTCACAAAGTAACATCCTTCACTCTAATGAAAATAGTAAAATGGAAAGACTGAAAATTATTTCACTTCTTATTTCTTAAAATTCAAATCTACTGTTGGGAAAAGCCTCATTATTTCTAAAATCCCAGCTTACATACTCACATAGCTATAGCTCCCATAACTACTATCACACTTATAAAATGAAGTGTAGCATCTTTTAGAGCATGCTTAATTTGTAACAGAGTTAAAAAGACTTTTTAGTTGGAATTTAAGGACAGAAGATACCAAATTATACTGCAATTAGCATAACAACAGTAATATCTAAATATCTAGTCATAAGCATATCTTTTCAGCCATATGAATTTTAGTTTTAAGTTCTGTCATTACTACAGAAGTCTAAATTAAATACAGTTTGACTTGTAAAATACATTTTAATTCCTGGAAGTAATTCCAATTCACAAAAAGAATGCCTTGAATCTTATTAATTGAATCTGTGTATATACATGATATACATTTACTCTGTTTTTTACTGTATTTTGTATTTAATAGATACCAAGCATTCCTTTTTTTAAATCATATTTTTAATCAGATTATATATATAATATTTTATCAGATTACATAAATGAATCATTAGCACCTGTGGTGGTGAATGAGAATGCTAAAACTACATCTATTATATACAGAGAAAAAGGATCAGGAGAAGATGGAAAGGAAATAAGAGGATCCCATTAAAAATCAGTGAAAAGAATTTTGTTCTAAATGTAAGCATGGCAGGGTGTTTTCTCCCACTGATTTCCTCTTTATTCAAAGTTTCTTTATTTTCTGAAAAAATTTCACATGGTTAACAACTAACATAGCAGCCATACAAGAAGCAGCACACAGGAATGCCAGACTGCAATGACTTGGAAACATTTTAACTTAGGCTTTCTACAACAAACAAATAATCTACTGACATGAATTTTCCTGTGACAAAAAGGGAACATTGGGAATGCTACAGCAATATGAAATAGAAGAAAACTATCATTTCTGAGATTCACACGGATGAAACAAATATACCCTATTTTCCTTATGCAGTATAAACCCCACAGTGGTGAGACATTAATTAGCACACCTTTGGGTTACATGCTAAATAATTTAGAAATTGTATTTAATAATTTATGCCTTTATGCTTTATTCATTTTAATAGCGATAACAAAAGTTGAAAATCAGTGAAGAAGTTTATTATAGCACTGGGTGCAGAAGTGCACAGGAACCATTCTGATATCAGAGTACAGTGATGTGACACTAAGCGAGCTCTACAAACCTTCTTGTTGATTGACTTGTTCGTAAGACAGGACATATTCCTCTTGGCCACCTAGAAAGGTAAATGCAAAGAAGTATTTATGCATTGTTTTCTAAAGCAATAAATTTACGTCGAGTCATTTAATGAAGAGCAGCAATATAGGCATTCATCAGCAGAATACGTGTTACAATGATACTGATGGAGCACGTTTTTAAAGAGCGATGAATTACAAAGCTCACAAAGATACGCCAAACAAAATTTTGAAGCATAAGATGCATACAGTATACAATTTCTTCAGCTATGTTAGCATGTCAAACTGACATCAAGCACAAGAAGTACTTTAAAGCAGAACTGAAATGCTCTTGCGTTTCCCCGAATGAAGTGCATGCATGGCGTCATTCACTGCTACAGGCATTGCCACCTTCTTCTTGAGTGCTTTCCCTGCTTTAAATGTTTCTGCAGCATTCTTCTACATACAAAGCTGAAAGTCATGCATGTCTAGGTGTACATCTCTCCCATAAGTTTTTCATGAAGTGGCATTTATACAAAGACCTTCAACCACTTCAGTTCCACAAAAAAATATTATGATTGTATATATTTCACTACTATTTCACTAGTAAGCTTTTAAAGATGAACTTGAAATTGAAGAATGTTCTGTATTGTTCTCAGCTCCAGAAAGCATATCAGCAGTGAATGAAACTAAAATAATTAGGCTTTGACCTGTTAAAGCTGCAGGCTTTAAAAAGTTAGTGCAAGCATCTGAAATATACCTCAGTTGCCATCTCTCTAAAAGAACATCTCTAGTCCAACAAAATATCTCAGTAAGATTTCTTGCATGGGAATCACTAAAATCAACTCCACAACAGCAGAGAACTTACAATTCTGAACATATAGGCTAAAATTACATGACAACACTATGAACTCTCAATAAAATGCAGTGCTTCAATAACTCACTTGTGTAGCTTTTAAAACATTCTTTTCAGTTCATAAGCCATACTTGTAACAGCCAAAGGAACACACCAATGCTATACCACAGCTTTTTAAAAAATAGATGGCAGATGAAGGCTTTTATATATTCATATATTGCTTTGATATGCACGTTCTTTATTTAATAGCATAGTCCACTAATCTTTTAAATCTGAAATTTACAATGTCTAAGAGTAATAAGACTGACTTATAATAAATTTGCATTCCAGCAATACATGAACGATTTCTTTAATTCTTTAAGGCATTGCAACTGAGTAATACATTAAGACAGACATGAAAACATGCAACCTGAATATTTTAATATCTCAAAAAGGCACTCATGCAAATGGATTTTAGGACAGTATATACTTTCAGAACCCTTTTTAGGCTAGGGAGAGGAACAGGGAATCACCAACTATCAACTCGTCCATGAAATATCCAGCCCACAGACAATTAGATACTTCTTTGGAGAAGTCACATTGCTATAAGGTCAAAGATTAGTTAAGCAAACTATTAAAGAGACAGTAAGAATTATAAAGCATCCCCCAATTGAGGGCAAAAAGTATATATTGTCATTGCTTTTTCAATACTGTTGAAAAATGAATATTAATAGAATGAACCTTTTGAACAACCGTACTCATCTGTAATCAAGATAACTTTTAGACAGCAGTAAGAAGAAATTAAAAAAATAATTTTAATAAAAAGTGCTTTGAATTCTACATTGAGATAAGTAAATCCATAATATTCATAGTAAAATCAGGGCTTCTTAAGTAATATAGGATTGAAAAACTAACTAGTAGTACCAGTGATGAACTTTAAACATAAATAAAGCAAGTTCTGAGAAAAACCTTGGGGGAAAAAAAAGAGGAAAGCAGCAAATTTATGGAGAAACAATCAGAATTAGATAGTTTTAATGGTATATCATTAAAAACAGTTAAAATCTGTAAATTAGTCATATATGCAAAGGCAACTTCCATACACATTTAATCTGTGTTATTCTCAGTGAACATGAATGCCTCCCCTGCTTTTCTTTTCTTTTCTTTTCTTTTCTTTTCTTTTCTTTTCTTTTCTTTTCTTTTCTTTTCTTTTCTTTTCTTTTCTTTTCTTTTCTTTTCTTTTCTTTTCCTTTCTTTTCCTTTCTTTTCCTTTCTTTTCCTTTCCTTTCTTTTCCTTTCTTTTCCTTTCTTTTCTTTTCCTTTCTTTTCTTTTCTTTTCTTTGCAACTGGACTACAAGTTTTAAGCACTGTAAGCACTGAGGAATTTGTACATGTACACATTCTCTCAAGTGTAACCATCTGCATGCAAACTCAGGGCTCCTTATTTCTGACAATATCTGCAGCTTCCAAACAGGTGTAGCTGTTAGTGAACCACTTTCCTTATTACCCTGCCACAAGTGGCATCTGTTTGTGAAGTGCCTCTTCTTGGGTTAACAGGCACCCAGGAGCAGATCACTGAGCAGCTCTGACACATCACTTGACTTTTACTGTTCCCTCTTTTTCTGCTCCTCTATAAATCCTCAGTCTTTAGCCTGCTTGCTCTGCTCTACCTGTGGTTCCTGCTTTGGACTCAACAACCTCACTGAGGCACTGGAAATGACCAATGAGACAGAAGCATCTGTAGAACAGCACCACACAGCATATTATACACTGGGAACGTGTACATTTGGGCAGCTTGGGCAGAAGTAAACAGCACTGTAGCTCAGGTTAGTGAAAAGGGTAATTGAGTCTAGTACTTAAAAGATGCACTGGTGGGGGATGAGGGACGTGCACAAGCACAACTGTGCATCTAGCATGCTGATTTATCACAGCTGGCTCCAGCACCTAACATGTGTCATGTTGCAAGAAATTCAGACAAAGCACCTACACTTGACAAAATAGAGAAATGAAAGCTGAAAAGCAAGGGTAAATACATGTTTGTTCATCTTTACTTTCATTAGAAGTATCTACATGTTCTATCTGAGCATCGTTGATAGGTACTACGCTGTGTAACAGATTACACTGTTCAGCTACACTCCCTGTATTAAGCACAACAACCATTATATTTGTCAACACTAAATTTACATTTGGGTTTTAGCAGGTCTAGCTAACACAGATAATTTAAATAAAAAGGAATTAATTCAAATTAAGCTGAGCAATGACAATCATAAATCACAACAAAAATATCCATAAAGGAGGTTTGCAATGATTCTCTCTTGTCAATTAAAAAAAAAAAAAAAAAGACACTGGAATTTTGCAGTACCCAATTAACACACAAACATGGACTTTGATGGAAGCTTACTGGGAAGTTCAATTTAACATGTAAATACCCAGGAAAGACAGACAAACAAAAGCAAAGGAAGAGCTACTGAACAAAGATTCTAAATAAAGAACTTAAAAACACTTACGGTAACTACTTTCACTATCGCTGGCATTAGAGGTTACATGCTCTGAAATTGCAACACAATGGAGAAAAATAAGGAACACACACTAATGACATGAATCCAAAGGAAAGAAAATCGACAAAAATAATCCAGATGAAAGACAACAGTGATATCGAAATGCCGAAATCAATACATACTGCATATAAAAGTTTTAAGGTACTTCTCATAGCTCTCAGGATCAAGCTTAATTTCACACAAAAGGAATGGATGTTAATAAAAAGAAAAAAACATTAAATAGCACATCAAAATAAGATTATGAAAAGTACACATTCGTATTTCACGCACAACCCTGCAATTTTTAGGTTTTCACTTCCATATGAATATTATTGTGCAAGAACTTTTGTAACAGAACCACCTGGCCACTTTTCTGGATTAAATTGCAGTCTAGCAATCATAAAGCCAAAGTTGCTTATCATTGGTCTTCTGCTCTCAACCAAGAATCTCCTCTAAACTGGTTTCAGAAATGGAAAATTAATGCTATTGCTACCAGGATTTTTATTTATTTATTAAGTAGTTGAGGCCACATATAGAAGTATCCCCCTCCCCCCCCCACCTCGTACGTGCAATTTCAGAAACACTGTAGGTTAGAATTAAGGGAACAGTTATGGTCTGGGAAGAAAGGTTACCTTCAGTGACTAATTTTACTATCCCATAAACCCCTAGCACTCTACTTGTTTAGTATCTGTCATGAAAGAAAAGTCATGACTCTTATTTTAAGTACAGAAATGACGTCAGGGTACACAAATCTGATGGGGGTACTCAGCAATGCAGAATCTTGCTGTGTAAAACTAATGCTTACGTGCCTCCTCTATCAGCTCCCCCACCACCTGGCCAGCAGTGCCCTGTGAGCACCATAAGAGTTCAGCAAGTCAGACAGAAAAACTCTCACAGCATCTGTTAAAGCAAGCTTTTTTGTTTGTTTGTTTTTAAAGAGCTGCCAACATCAGTCACCTAGAGAGACGACTGACAACTGCTGAAATTGCTATGGCAATAGTTCTGCTATGGCTGTGAAAATCCATAGGTTAATTTCAATAATAAAAACACAAAAACAATATAAAAATGACATTAGCAAAATATATGAGTGTCAACAAATTTACAAACACAGTCACTACCAAGGACAAACAAGTAGGTGCTGGTAAGCTTCTGGACAGCAACTAAAACACACTAATGTCATAATCACCTAAAAAGTAATATGTTCCTGAAAGCAAAAACCCCCAAAACATTACAAACTAGAAAAATCTTATGAAACATTTTTAGAGTCAACCTCCTTATGCCAGTAGAGCACCAGTCTCAAAGAGATCTGTTAAAAAAAAAAAAAAATGTAATTTTTCAGATGGAGGTTAAAATAACTTGGGAGTATTTTGATCACTTACTCAGGCCTTTTGATCCCATGTCGTCAGGGACCTCCTGCAGAGTAGTCCCCAGAGGGCAAGCAATAAAAAGACAATCACAAAGAAAATAATTGTCAGTAATATATAAAATTGGCGCTACGACAGGAGACAGTTCCCAGAACATCACAGGGAAGACAAGCCTATAGGAATGAACCAGACTGGCACAAGAAGTGTAATCACTGGTGCAAATGACAGAGAATGGCTGAGGATGCGGTTTGTAGCAGATCTGGTCTGAATCAGCAAATTAAGTTTTTGAGAAGACACTTTTTTTTTTTTTTTTTTTTTTTAAATGCAGGCGAAAACAATCAAATTCACCTCTTTTCATTAAGGAAACCAAATTAGAACAGAGTGACTTTGAAGCTGCCAGTCCAAAGGGACTGACTGGAGAGCCTAGTAAGCTCAGACATGCTTTCCTTGCTGCTCTGCACTCTCCTCAGAATGACAACTGAGGAACCATTACTGACAGCTCCAAAGAGTTGTTATCTCCTCCAGTTACACATATGCTCTTATTCATCTGTATTAACCAGTTTGCTGCAAACTGAGATATGTTCTTGGTTTAAAATTTACCTTAAGAGCAAACGGAATGATTGCATTCATCCTACAGATTGGATTGTCGTTTGCACGCCAAGCTCGTTAGCCTGTTGCAGCTCATGAAACTGTCTCCATGGTAACACCCTACTGCAATCTAGCAGGCCCTTCTACTGCGCTTTCTCTTCATGGAGTGCCACATACTTACGGTCAATATCACTGGTTTCCTGCTCACTCTGGTCCTTGTTCTTGTAGAAGGGAAATTTTCGGGAAAAGAGGTTCTTTTTACGCTTGTCATTGAATGACTGCTGAAGAAGAGAAGGAGGGGCAAAACAAAGGATGTCTAATTCTGTGTGAACAAAGGCCCAGACCAGCAGCTTTGTGGAAGCTGACTCCTATAACCACATTATGCAGTGCATATTTCAACTTAACAGCATCTTCTCAGCTCATGTCAAATAGAGAGAGATCATGATCATGGCTTTGCTCACCCCCTCAGTATTTCACACGCTTACTGCAAGAGAAGTGACAGGCTGGCTCACCCTGGAAGGCCTGACCTGCATTTCACAAACTTCAGCTTCTTGTGAGTGTAATGAGATGTGAAAAACTAGGCTGCTAGAAGGTGGCCAACCCAAAATGAAATGAAAAAACAAAGCCAATGAAATCACTGATATTATCTAGTACAGGAACTATGGTAGTTCGGGAAAAAAAAAAAAAAAAAGATGTCAGGTATTCACACATGCTCCTACAAACAGCTACTATAAGAGCACACAGAAATGTGATGCCCCTCTGCAAAGGTCAAACTGTAAATACTTTGGTGACAGCTGCTAAATAACATACCACAGTTACAACCTGGCATTGCACTGAACTCTCTAATGGTAAAACTAAGAAAGTAATAGTGAAATAGTAGAAATGTATTAAAGAAATGTGTCTCCTTAAAATAAGATTCCTCTTGTGTAAGCGATGGAGAGCACAAATGTATATTCATTCATATATACCTGAGCTTACAGGTATAGTTACTGAAATATTTGTATTTTAGTAATATCTGCTGTCATGTCTCTAGTTGAAGACACTGTGACTGCAGCATCTCTAACTTACTGTCCTGCAAAAAGTAAATAAAGAACCTCGATGCATAAATAGATCAGTAATTATGCACAGAACTGGTACAGCTAACTTCATGCTAGCTGAAATATCTTCTTTTTTTCCTTTAAGCATCAGTGAATCCACAGAACACTTCTTTAAAACATAATTTTACAAAGAACCAAAATATATTCCATTAAGTCAATAAAATTATCTGAGCAGCTATTTCTAAAATTTAAACCACATTAATTTTCAAAGATTGTTTGACCTCATTTAATCCAATCCGAGCTTTCTTTCTCTATGTACAAAATGCAGTAGTAAAAAGTTACACTACCTTTGTTACCAGCCCTAAGCACGGAATGAAATATAGCAACTAGCAGGAGTCAAAAAGGACTCATGTTTCAAATCACTGGCCACCTTTTTTGGTACAAGTACAAAACCAGCATTTGTTTCCTTCCTAAAGAGGATGCCTGTAGTGCTACACAAGTTGCATACTGCTACTCTGCTAACAATGCTTCTGGCCATCTGTTTTAATACAGGCTTGCTTGGCAGTATCACATACTGAAAAAATCCAGTGATATTTTCATTACCACTGTCAAGACAAAAGTATTTTATCAAATCTACCAGGTGTTACAGAGGCACGCGGTATCGCAGGAGCACCATAGTGACGTAAGCACTGAGCTCTTGATACAGCAGTAATGTTTTAAGTAGGAAACACATAAACCTTTAATAGGCTGGCATCTGTGTTGGACTAGAACTGTCATTCCTCTGTTAGAACTGGCAAACTTTCAACCTGACATACGGACAGAGGAACTTGACTTCTCATAACCAGAGATGTTACTGGGATCTACATAAGACAGGCAACAAAGAAATATGCCCAAATGAGTAGATCTTAGCTGAGCATGATGAAGAATGCTGTAACATGCACTCTGAAAGGTGGATGGCTCACATCTAGCCAGTTGTCTGCTGGGATAAGACCCTCAGTTAGGTCAAAAGAACATGAAAATAAGGAAAACGAAAACAACGCCAAAATGGTAGAGTTTTACTGAGGTGGTGAGATTTTGCAGTGATTAAAGGAAGTGCTGAATTTATTTTGCTTCACAAAAAATAATGTTTTTCATTTTAGTTTTGAAAATATTTCATAACATTAATGGTTTTAACTTTCTCTACAGTAAGTCTTACTGAACTAATATGAAAATTCATATACTGCATGTATAATGGTCAGAGTCAGTTCCATAGCCAAAAAAAAACCAAAGAAATTAAAAGAATATTGGACTGATTTTGAACAAAAGATTAGCCAAAAGATTACTTTCAAAAGATGCCATGATTATAAAAAGCTGAAGAGAATTGCTTATTAGTTGAAAATGCATAGTAATTACATTAAATTCTTCACAAGCTCACCGCAAATCACGATCAGGCACTATAAGCAAGAATATATTAAAACAGAAGCAGCACAGAAAGTTAGGTAAATGTGTATATGAAAGAAACGGGAAAAAAATAATCACTTCTGCTCCAGTTTCTTAGTGTTACTTAAATGTAAAGGAAGGCAGACTTTACTATTTGCCATCACTAGGGTTATTCTCTAGGATTTCAATGTAGAATTTTTGAAGAATTGTTCAAAACTGATATTTCATATCGTCCATGGAGATTTATCACATACAAACACAGGAATGCACACAGTCCATGAGGATGTGTATGTTGCAGGTAACTTACTGGGAAAAATACCCCCACGACAAACACAGGAAGAATAATTTAAAGGAGAAATTGTCATGTTAAAACATTTACAGCTGAAGCAACAGATTGTGAATAAGTGTAAGCGTGTCTGCAAAACAAAGTGTTACTAAAAAACTGCAGTTCCGTATCAATGGCAAGCGTAGTTGCTTTTCCACTCAGTATCCCATGCATATGTTTGGTGCTGTTAGTACACGGTGCTTGTGTACTAACTGCTCTATTGCCAGAATGCTACCTCAGGTAGGTCAGTAACTGTTCACAGTTTGGTGGTAGACAGACTACAAGAACATGCAATTATCTTCTCAAAGAACACGGTAATATTTGAAAAACTGTGCAATATAAAACAATCTGAGGTATTTAAGCCATTTGGTTCTTATCCAACTTCTAAAAAGTGAACTCAAAATCCAAAAATGATGGGTTAAAAGTTACCACAGTGATCGATAACAATTTATTCCAGTAGGAAAATATGAATGAATGAAAAGAGAAAAGCAAAATGCAAATTATCAGAGGGATCCTCAAGGCAGACTCTAACTGTTAACTAGAAAATATCTAAAGATACTGATTTTGCTTTAAACAGTTTGCATTTTAAAAACTTAAAAAATTAAAAATTACAAAAACTTGACATTTTCTTCATTAGTAAACTAAATAGGAAACCTTTACCACGTAGGAGAGGAATGCATATTTGGATTTTGATATCTTTAAAGTATACAGATACATTATTGAGGTTTTAGTACTTAATATATTTGATTTTTGAAGAAAGGAAAACACTAACTAAAATAAAAGAAAAAAAATAATTTGGATCTAAAATAATTAATGTCTGTGCCATCTGAAAAAAATGATATATGAAATAGTTTCCTTGGGAGCTCAAAAGCACATTGCAGACTACTCTAAAAAAGCAGTTACCTTGCCTCCTCAGCACTCATACCACTGTCCCACCTTATGTAATGGGACAAAGCTGACATACCAAGCAGTGACCTGCACCAAGGGACTGATTGCTATTTCTTTGGGACTAGTTATCCTTCCATCTACACTGCTTACTTTGTATGACTTCTGCACAGCCACACCAGTGTTTGTGCCAACAGAGAGCAGTGCTGAGACAAAAACATTTGAGAGATGGATGGAGACTGTATGGTTAATAATAGGGGAAGACTTGAAGAGTCCCTTAAAGCTTCTGTAGCCACAGGTGTAACAAATAATATATATTATCCTGCTTACTGTGCACAGTATAAAACCTCACTTTATCACAGGGACCCTGATGAGCAATATTTTCTTGTTTTTTACATGCATTACAAAAACTTTAACAAAAGAAATGTTGTTAAAAAGAAACATAAAGAGGTAGTAACCCTCTTCCCAAAAAAGGGAGTTCAAGAATACAATCCAGACCAAAGGGTTAAACAGCTTTATAAGAAGAACTTGCAGTGCCGCTAGAAATGTCTCTAGTCAATAAATAGTTACTATATACAGCTCCTATTATATTACAGACTTAAGAATAGTATCTTTTTCTAAGCTAATTCTTTAATTTGCAGTGTTTTGGTAATGGGTTACTATTTAAATTTGCTTTCAGTTTAAGAAATATTTTCTTTCTATTTGACAGAATCTAATCTTTTCACTAAAAACTGACATGGAGCCTTAATACATAAACCACAGAGGAATGTTACCATTCACAACACCAGGTTTAATTAGCACTTCATAAACTCACCCCTTTCTCTCCTCTTGTCTTGGAATTGAATTTCACTGTCTTTAAACGGGCTCGTTCTTTTTTCTCAACTCTACCAGAAAGAAAAAAAAACAAAACAGACAAAACAGTTAAACAAGCAATATTCATGAAGCTTAAATTAGTATTTGTTATAGTATAAGCACAGTGCTCAAGTGCAGTCACAATCAGCAGCGTCATATTACCCAAAATTTATTTTGCCCCAACTTATACATAAATGGTGTAGTATTAAACTAATATCACATTTCTAGTAAAAGCAGTTAACTTGCTTACCACGAGGATAAGGAGAGGAATTTGGAACCACCTTTGTCAATTTAGGAGAATACAGCTCCTAAAGCTACATACGATTCCTCACTGAGCTAATTACAATCACACTGCAGATTTTAAACTTTTTTTTAAATGACTGGATGATGTGGCAAAGAATTAACAACCAAGAGCAAAACTGAATGTCTACAAACATATACACATTAATCATATCAGAAATTTAATAGCAGACATCTCAGAGTCAATAAAACATCAGGACATACCTGCGTTTGCTTGGGATAACTCCGATTTCATCACTTTCTCCATCTGGAGTTACCTGCCTTGCTTGCCACCATTCATCATCAGAAGCATTAATGACATGGAGAATATCACCAAATTTGAAGTTCAGTCCTTGACTTGGAAGGCCACTGTCTTTAGTCTTGTCATAATCAAATAGAGCTCTACATTGAAAAGAAAAAAATTAACTAGTGAAAAAGATGAAACGGGGCTGCAAATAGCACAAGATTTATTTAAGCTGTCTGTGTTCAGAAATGACTGCAACATTCTGAAAGGTGCTCAGAAGAAGAATGCTGAATGCAATCTCTCCCCCCACACATACACACATATAGTATAGTATTCACACAGAATACATTTGAGACCTTTAATGAGTGAGAATAAACATGGCCCAGAGCAAAACTCCAGTACCTGACAGAAGTTTCACAAGAAGATAACTCCTGCAATTCAATCAACACTTCGCATAGAACAAATTACACATCAATGTAGGAAGAAAAAGTAAATTATTTGACGAATGCAGACCTGCTGAAAGTTTTGCAATGCACTTTGTTAGAAGTTACAAACTGAAAATATTTCAGTAAATAAAAGTTACTGTCAAATACTGCACAGGAATACAATACACAGGGATGCAAAAAATAAAAAGCTCAAAAACATGGTCTGGACAGAATGTTGCTACTATAGTATCAGAAGGCAAAAAAAAGTATATGAACTCTTTTGGAAAATTCCCTACCATTTCAGAGGAATCCTATCCTTCTTTCTAACATCAGCCTATTTTCAAGTAATAGGCACCAGCACTACCTGCAGACTAGCAGCAGGCTGCAGTTTTATTCACGTTCTCTTTGCTAGCAAAGTCAGTTTATTCAAGCTCACTGCTACTCTTGCTTTGTACTACTTTCTCCCCCTGTCTTAGTTACAAAGCAAAATTGTGTGGAAATGGACATGGTATACCACACTGAGGAATCAATACAGGTTGAAGTTAATTTCTCCCTGTTGAATCATTTTAAATCTCAATCAGTTCCCTGAGGAACAGAACAGACCTATGGTACACTTCTCGCACCACAGCCAAGGATTTAGTGAGGATGTGAAACTGAATGACAGGAGCCTCTCACAGAAGCTAGAGACTCTCCCAGGATGCTTTAGAAAGGACTCGTTTTACTTTTCAAAAAGGTGCATGAACAGATGTCAAGTGAAGTGCCTGTAATGAAAAAGGCCAACAAAGCCATCATGTGTTTCATCTGACAGCTCAATTGTTTCTCAGTGACACACCTGCTAAATGACAGCCTGTCTCAATTTAGAGATTTGATAGCAAGTCCATCATGACCTTAGGAGAGCAGTGTCAACAGACCAAAAGTATTTTATAAAGGGATAAAGGTTTTCATGAATATTTTCTTCAGAGTCATGAGCAAGATAAAGATTTTAAAACAGCTAGACATACATATGGCTCTGTGTATGATGAGCCAAACAGCGCCTAGAGTTAAGAAGAATCTCTTTCCACGCCAACCAATTAACATGGCGTTTCCTGTATGTCTGGAAAGTTATCAGATGAGAACTTAATTTACACTGAAGATGACCTATTTATCTACAGATTGCTATATCTAAGATAGCTCTTTGATGAATTCCTTGTATGGAAAATTTTATTGCTGATTAACATCGCATACAAGTATTTAATGTAAGTCATAACACAAATACAAATTTACTTTAGAATAAACTCAGCATTTCTGACTAATCCGTGCTTTATACATAGTCCCACAATATTCATTTTACACCTAAGATCCTGCTAAAGGCAAGTGACAAGTCCTAAAAATTATTTTAAAGGGAAAGCACCAAGTCCTCCCTACTATTTCACCTGCATTAATCAGAAACACAACAACACTAACACGGTAATTTGGTTTCTTTAGTTAGAGGTGTACAGAAACTGAAGGCAAGTTGCACGCTTCATGAATGCTTTCAAAGCCAAAAACTTAACAGTTGTGTTAACAGCGCCACATTTTCCACAATGCCTTTTTACCTGGCTGTGTTTGCCACTTGCAATACCACAGGCTGCTGATCAAGTTCTACTGAAGCATTTCTTTTGAAGTGTCCTTGATGAACAAAATAATGAGTGCATCCCTGGAGCAGCAGAAGTATCCTTCTGTACTTCTTACTAAACTTACCTCTTCAGAATGAATGAAGGTCAGCCTGTACAGGAGCTTCTCTTTTTCTCCCTGATTTTTTGGGAAAGCTGTTTGAAACTAAATGTCTGAAGTGTCGGAACAACATAAGGATGCCCAATTAAACTCTTCCTGCAGTTGAGCACACTTTTCAGGCCTGGTGCTAACATCAATCTTATTTTTCAATGGATCTAATTAAGATTTCCTAATGCTTCCAAAACTGTGAAGTTTCTTCCACTTGGAGATGCAATTATTTTCTACTCTCATGCAAGGGGAGAAATCAGCACCATTGTTTGAATTTGTAATGTATCGTGCTGGTTGGAAAAATGCATGGGGGTGAATGTCATCTTTAAATCTGCATTCTACACACACTGCACAGACAGAGATTTGGCACACAAGATTAGATAAAGCATGGAACAAATTTACTCCTGGCAATATATTATCAAAGAAATTTGATCCCATGAAAGAATTTCACTTTTTCACGTTTGCTTTTTGAATTTGCAGATGAAGGAGTAGAGCATAAAGGTGCAGCTCAGATTTAAAGTCACAAATATTGTACAAGAGAATCCCTCTCCTCTTAAAATAAAGATCAGAAAAAATATAAAGCAGCAATCAGAGAAGGTACTAAACCAGTACATCTTAATTAGGGGAGAGAGAGAGAATTAGCTGTGCAAATTCAGGAGTTAGTCACTGCTGAATTGCTATATTTACACTGTCCTCCAAGGACTACTTGCTATATTGTTATTTATCATATATACATGCAATTAAGGAGAAAAATCTGTCCTTTTACTTTAAGTTGCATCCTCAACCAAACACAACCATCTTTTCCGTAATATTACACAACACCCCCACAGTATTGTTTGCAAGCTATCTATTCATGAAGATACCACGTTTCAGCTGCATGGATACAATGATGCAGCTCATTTTACTCATTACTTTGGTAACATGAACATTTGAGAAATCACCACAGATTACTGTTCCCAAAGTCTTTTATTTCGGAGTTTTTCTGCAACTGTGATCGAATGTCTATGAACATCTCTCTGCTGGCCTTACTATTCAGTTTTGCTTACACTACATGATCTTAAAGGCACATCCAAAAAATCCAAAAATTACAGAATAACTTCAACATCAGTTCCTGAAACTAGTTTTGAACTAGTTCAAGTAAAAGTACAGAACATACCAAAGTAACTTACAGAGCATAAGTGGGACAGCCAACATGTTCTGTCAGTATCTAGCAATATGTTCAAAGATCCTTGGAAGTTATTTCACTGAGGTCAAAAATTGCACTGGAAACCAGAGAACAGATGTGAACCCACCCTGCATGTAGCCAAGTTGCCTACCAGACTTTGGCATCTTTAAATACGATGACAAGATTAGGTCTCAAAAATCATAGCAGCACTCTCTGAAATGGGACGTGGGTGGAGAAGTACTTTTCACAAGGAATTTTTGCATTTTAGATTTTTCTTCTAACTTCTAACAGAGCTGATTAGTAAGTTTCAAAAATCTTTCTTGGAAATGGAACCACCAGTTTCCACGGGGCTGCTGCCAACATTCTGGAGAAGGCTGCACTTTTGGCAGCTGACAAAGTCAGAAGCCCAGCCTCAACCATTTCCAGGTCATTTCCATCAGGAGAATAAAAGCTACATAGATACAAAACATTTGTCAGGGGCTTGAAGAACTAGATGAATGCATGAACTGGAATGTAAGCAGTTTAAAATCTGTAGCTATAAGCTATAGCTAACAAAGCAAATTGAAAGTGGTTGAGATTGTTTAGGCTTAGTTAAACCATAAGCACTAAAGTGATAAACTTTGTGATTGTGGATATTACGGTCTCACCATCATATCCAGAAGCATACATAACACATGTACATTGCACAAAGCTTGCCAAGGGGAAAAATCATCAATGTTGTAATACCATGATGACTTAAAGACTGATGGCAAAACTGCACAACTGCCTAAGTGGATCCAAACCTGAGCAGCCATGCTGCCCCACCATCAGACAGACTTCTTTGGACCAGCAGTTGTGTTTGTGCAATTGTACGTACAGTGTGCAACCAGAGAGAGATGTACTGTGTGAAATACTGTGCTTTTCTTGGAGGTTAAAGTTACTATCACTTTATTTAAGCCTCTTATTCTGGGTCCTCACGAATGCAGAAGCAGGTCAAGGAAGTGCACTGGGGAGAAAGCAGGGACAGGGGAGAAATAACAGCAAATGACAGAAGTCTGGTGAAAGATTAACCAGAGTCACCATGTTGAGAAAGTCCTTAAAAGATCTGCTGCTGCATTAAAATCCCCCTATTGGCTTCTAAAAAAATCAACTCTGTTCAGCAATGTTACTGAATGTAATGGAGATAAAAATTGACTATTATAAACCAATTTACTGTGACTTTTGCAGTGAAGAAGTAGGGTATCACTGCTTACAGCTAAGACTATATTTCCAACCAGCATTTCACTTGATGGCAATATCACTCAAAGCAGATCCTACGACTCCTCTCTCCTAAGCTGTAACTAATTCTGAAAGGGACCTTGTTTCTACAAGAGCATGGTGATCAGGGAACTACTTCAGGTAAAGTGCATTTAATCAGGCTCATTTTTCTGTTTTGATTTATTCTGTGGCACTGCGAACAGATAACAAAGTACAACTGGGAGACAGAAACTGTTTGAGGTGTTTTTTTTTAAAGGGGCAAAGGCAATAGAACCTGAGCCTAAGATTTCAGCACATAAACCAGTGAGGTCCTGCAACATTTTAAATCAAATTTAAAGCAAGCACCATCACTAACAAAGTCTTGTGTGCTCTATTAATACATTCTGGACTCTTTCATGAAGAAACTGCTGGCTCTTTTTCAACTCAGAGATGAGTCAGATTGGGAAACTCAACGAACAATTTATTTTTTAAAATTCAATCCTTCAATCCAGATTTCACATTTGAAATGTTACACCTTATCAGTATGTCATAAGTGATATAGGAGTAAGGCTGCACCTTGCCAGAATTTCCTGGGAAAGCTACTTAGTTTCTCAATTATTTCATGCTCTTATATTCCCATTTCCTTTTAGGCTTCTTTATGTTTGATTTTGCATGAAAAAAATAATGAAAGATATTCAACTTATTCACTCTGATGCATTTGATCCCTTGTTTTCCATGGAAATTGTTCTGTAACACAATTCTATTGAATTTCTTAATACAAACTGAGAATATGACTAAGGCAAGCTGAAGAAAATCAGATGGCAACCTGTCAAAGCTTAAGAATAGATTTGAAGTCAAAGCCTAACAAAGAGAAGAATATGCAGAGTTTTGTCACAAAAACACAAACTGAGTCAAGCCAGATGTTAAGACATCACGTACTTTGACTTAAAAAGAATAACTATGTGTTTACTGAAGGCTTATAATCTCAGACTCAGGACAAAAAGCAAGTAAATGCACCACTTTTCAAAGTTCTCAGTGCTAATACTACTTTTCCAGTTGTGTAACTACTTTTTCAGTTGTATTACTTTAATGAAACTGAATTAAGTTTTGTTTTTAATATGTTGCAATCACAAAAACATCAAGTTCAGCAATGAGTGAGTATACAAAAATACAGAAATGCTAAGTTTTCAGAAAAGCAGGAAAACACACCTGTAATATGATAAAAAAAGATGATTACCTGACGTATAGGGATCTCTTCTGGCTGGTTCGCAAAGATCCTGATCCTGAACTAATGCTACTGTTCATCATCTGCTCCCGTAAATCATGTATTTTAGCTTCAAAACGACTGTATTCTGTAAGAGAGGAAAGCACTGCTATTAATTTTCTCTGTACCTCTGGGGATTAAATTACTCAGAATAATACTGAAAATCTCAGAAAATAAATATTTGTTAGAGTTTTTTTTTTTTTTTTTTTAATGCAAGAGAAAGCTCCAAAATTCCAATGCTTTAAGCATCTTTTTTTTTTTGTTGTAATTAAAAACTATATAAAGTCTTACATTTATCAACTGAAATAGAATTTGAAATAAAGCAAATATCTGTTACAGAGATTTCACTATTCATCCTACAGTTTACAGTGACCAACTCCTTTCTAATTAAAACATAACTCCATCAATCACTTCACAGTAATAAAAACATATACATTTTACACCATGACCAAAAATAAAGGTTAGAATATGTATCTAAAGTGCACATATTTATAATCTAAATTATATTTTTTAAATGCTAAGATGTGAGAATTACAAGTTTCTGAAAAGTTGGAATTGAATAGATACTTCAGTATTGCTGGATTTGAGTAAGATACAGGATTTAGCACTACAAGGTGGGGAATATGCAAAACATTATCTGAATAAAACAATGTTCCCATGGGACTTCAAGTAAGGAAAAGATGTCCAGAATTCTGGCACAAATCTCAATCCAATTGTAAACAGCATTAAGACATTCAAACTCCCTCTGTATAATTATGTACAATGTTAATCCTGGAAAAACGGATTGTGTTCTTAAGCAGCACCGTGCACTAATAAAACTAAGATAAATACATTTGATTTTATCTACAAAGGCAGACAATAAAATAGCAATCGTTTCTTGAGGACAAACATATCTTAAAGCAAGGTACTTACAAGTTGCCAGCATAAAATGTGAACTCAAAACAAGTAAGTTTTTCCTTCAGTTCAACAGTTTGGACTTCAGGATAAACAGATCCACTTCTAAAACCTTTCTAGTTAAGGGAAATGCTCTACAGCCACCACCTTCACCAGCAGACCATGTGATGCAAGATTATAACAAGTCAACATTGGGAGAGCCAGGGTGTGCACAGCCAGCAGCTGCTGAGCTGGGTAATTTGTGCTCTTCTCCCTTGCTGCACCTCATTCCCTGTGGGCATCAAATTTACTCAAAATATGCAAGACTGATTAAAAGGGCTCAAAGATGCAAAAAATCTTGAGGAAATCTCTGAACTGCACTTCCTTCAACAGCCATCTTAAATACCACAATTTATCCTATTATGTTCTGTAGGACTTTCTCCCCACACATTCATCAGGCAATAAGCACCAAATGTACAAGTTAGCCAAGGGAGGAAGAAAACAAAATTATGTTATCGAAGAACTTTCTGTGAACTGGTTTCTGGTATACCACTTCATTCATCCAGGTAACTATAAATTGAATATTCTAGCAATAACAGCCCTAATTAACACTGTGCAGATTGTGACCGTAAGAACAGCCTCTTAGATAATCCTGTTTCTTGTCCTTTAAACCCAAAAGCCAGCAGTCGTTAAGATAGCATCTTAGTTTTTGAATCAGCAATGGTGTCTTTGTACAAATGAAGTCCAGATCAAATAATTTACCAGCACTAACAAAACTGATGATGATGCCTGACGAGAAAAACTGTTTCCACGCTACTGATATTATTACTAATATCAAAGGAATTCAGCATGACAAGATGGCAATGTAAGAGGAATGTGAGAAAACAGGATTTTTTAGAAAGCAACATCCCTTAGGGGAAGGACCCAGATACAGAAAGAAAAACCTCCTGCTGTGCCATTGCTGCACCACATGATGTGGGTAAGTCACCTCATTTTCTTCAGCTTTTCCCCTTCCTCATTGCTGCTTCTCTTATCTACTTAGACTGTAAGCCCTGAGACAGGAACCCACTTTTCACAAGGACTAATCTAAACAAGATTTTAGACAGCACCTGCATATCTGCATTTCATTTATACAAACACACAGGTTCGTTTTTATCAGCTGCTTTGTCTTTGTTTCAGAGGTGAAAATTATATAATAATAATGACTTAAATGGGAAACAGTCTCAGTTTACAATAACAACTGGGGAGCAAGCACTATGCTTATCAAGAGACAGGTATCAAAACACAGGAATGAATCTGAGACATGCCAAACACCTGAGAGCCAGCTCCTGAGATAAAGGAGAATGCAGTGCTAGTCCTCATGAGGAGACTGAATGCTGCCTAGAATGAGGTTCTCTGAAGTCTTAACCACTCATCTGAGTCTACTGTGACAGGATGCACTTTTTTTTCATTTGTAATCTGCCCATTAATTAATTCAAATCAGTGCATCATTAAAAACAAAAGTTTTCAAACACAGTCTACTGACTGAAACATGGCTTATCTCAAAGTTATTTATCTGCTCTAATTAGAAGAAGAAATAAGTTAGTAATAAGGCAGAACATAGTTACACAGTTAAATTCATACTGCCAGGACTGTTTGCATTGTAGAAAAACATTTTATTCATTCTGCAAAACTCTTCTGCCTATAAAACCAAACATTTTCAATGTCACCATTTAATTTATAAGTAATCAAAATTTCAGACAAGGGGTCTGAGCAGTGAAACTCTCCTGGACTGCCGCTTTGGTGAGCCACAGGGATAAGCAGAAAGATGGTGAATTGTCTATACTGGCTATGGAAGATAAACAAGAGGCAGCTATGACAGTTAATTTGGTCTGGAACACACAACCTAGCAAAGAGAAATAAAAGAACAGAAGACTACAACAAGGGATAGAAAATTCAGAAGGAAAAGCAATTCATGGAAGCATGGATGTATGCACTGGGAACAGATGGCAGCACAGCACTCAAAAGCAGAGATTCCTACATATACTAAACCCACTAAGAGCTGAAAAAGTTCACTTTAATTAAAAAAAAGTATGCCTCTTCAATCCCTCTTACCATCTGTCTGTGGAAAGCCCTCCTTTAGTGAGTCCCACTGGATCTGTCAAAGCAGTTTCTGCTGAGAATTTTGTGCTGTTTTTTTTCCCCTCCACTCTCAGGATACCCACAGTTCTCCTTTATCGTGCTGCCTACAGACGCACTGAGAAGCGGAGCCTGGCAGTAAGTTAGAAAAGCCACCATCACAACCACCTTGTACTGACCTTCCACGTGCTTCCAGTTCTCGGCTGGTGAGGCAGCACTGGCACAGCATGCAGTGCAGTGAAGCTGTATTTACGAGCTCTGGTAATGAACTACTTCTATCTCTTGACTATCAACACTGATATTTGATAAATTCAAGGGTACAACTCATGTGCTTGTTACAGACTTTCAGGTGGTAGAGAAAGCTGTGGAGTGTGTGCTACTTACTATGACCACACAAAAACAGGTGCCAAGATGTTACGTGTGAAAATATACAGTAAAAGCATTTCAAGTCATCTGGGGAGAGATAGCACTCAGCTTCAACACCAGACTTTCTATATTAACGTGAACTGAGAGCAACCACAATGCATTCTATGTGCTGTTGGTGGCTTTCACACATTCACGCCTCACCAACCACTTGAAAGACCCTGGTCATGCAATTTCAAAACAGACTAAAAAACTGCATTTGTATTTAGTTAAGAATTGTTCCCACAGAACCTGTAAAATTCTGAATGAGACTACATCCAGCCACTGCCAATGCTGAAATGAATTTACATAGAACACGCATTTACAACTTGCAGAAGGCTGGACACTTCTTAAAGACTAGCAATTTTATTTATTATCTTAAAGAGCAGAAGTGAAGATTTAAAGGATTAAAACATGAATAAGCTGCTTTACAGTGTTATCTATCAGGACTATTTATAGCAGAACCCTTCTTCTAAGCTTAATGGGACAGACTTTAAAGGTACTTTAATTGACTAATCTGGATTATTCACAAATCAGTAGAACCAGGTACAAACAAGCAGGGGAAAAAAATGGATGAATAAAGATCACATACCTCACAACATGGTAAAACAATTTTTTCTACAATATTTTAAAATACTTTTCATTTTTTGAAATTGGGAAATGCTGAACTTTTAAACCACCACTGATTTCAGCAATTCATGTGCTCCACCAAATACTGAAATGTAAGTTTTACAAAAACATTATTACCAACATGCTACTTTTACAAATGGGAGACTTGTATTTCCAAGACAAATGTTCAGAAAAATTCTTTGCTCATGGACATGAAAATGCTACCATTTCCCAGAATTTAGTTTTTCTGTTTTAAATGCCACAAGAAAATAGTGCATAAGTAGCAGCGTCACAGTGAGAAAAATTGGCTCAATCCTGGCCATTGAAAAGTAAGCTTTAACAAAGCATTATTTCTTATTTTGACTCATTTGCTTTAAAGACAGAAGAATGAAAGACTACAAGGATGTTGTACTTGGATCTTATTTTCAGTCCATGTATGCATCCCATCAAAGCAAAAAAAATACAAGGAAAATGGAAGTAAAAAACTGGCTAGTTAGGTATCAAGAGTTTGAATCTCAAATACATTTTGCAGTGGTTCACCATGAATCACATTTACTTTAATCAAATTAAAGATTTGCATGTATCATAACATGCATAAACAATGCAAGTTCAGAAGTGGTGTTTTGTTTTGGCTATTTTGTGTTGTGGTTTGTTTTCTGGTTTTTGATGTTTTTTTGTTGTTGTTTTTGTTTTTGTTTTTTTCACAACACATGAAAATCATCTCTAGAGGACTTGGCCTCACCTGCTAATCTTACACTGATCCTCTCAATCACCTAAGAACATTGGGCTAATCTGATCACTAAACCTTCTCACTATTCTTTCAGAGAAGAAGTGGATACAAAGCGATAGATGATCAGGTGAAATATAAAGAAAAGAGAAGCGTAGATTTTAAATTCTAAATACCAGGCAGCTGATAGCTGATGTAGAAAAAAAAAGCAAAAACCTGTTCTACTAGTTAAAATATGTTTTATGTTTTAAACTTCAGGTGGATTGTTGAGAAACAAAGCGCTGATACCATTTCCTGTTGTAAAAGGCTTCCCTTATTTTGAAGGAAGGGTCAAATGACCAATGAAAGAATGCTGATGC